AGTGGCACTGGTGTCCTTGCTATTCCACAAACAAGAAATTCCTCCTATCGGCTTGAGGCATTCTTTTTTTTTTCTGGCTATCCCCCATGCCTGGAGTACTCTCCCTTCTCATCTCCGACTTCTCACCTCCCTGGTTTCTTTCAAGTCTCAACTAAAATCCCACCTGGGAGCCATCTCCAGTCATCCTGATCTACATCTTGCCACTGGACCCAGGTGGCTCTGGAGGAGAAAGTGAGGCTGATGACTTTCCACAGCCCTCCCTCACTTAAATCCAATTCACTTGCAAGTCATGATATCTTCTTCCTGATGTTGTGATCCTCTTTAAGAACGAAGGACAAGCAATAAAATCTCACCTTCTATATAAAGCATTTCCCAATTCCTTTGAATTCTAGTTCCTTCCCTCTAATGATAATTTCCCATTTAGCCTGTATAAAGCTTGCTTGCACATAGTTATTTGCATGCTATCTATACCATTAGATTGTGGGCTTCTTAGGAGCAGAAACTTTTGCCTTTGTATTCCTAGCACTTAACACAACGCCTGGCACATAGTAGGAGCTTTTTCTGTTAAATTCAGTAAACATTTATTGAGCTTGATAAATCTTTATGAACTGACTAGCACAGTGCCTGGCATGTAGGAAGTGTGTAATAAATGTTTGTTGACCGATTGTTGACTAATCAGAATAACTTATACATTTATTATTGAAAATTTACCAACAGCATAGATGGGGCAGAATGCAGCAGCCAAAGAGAATGAGAGGAACTGAGCAAAACAGAACGAAGTTTTAGGGAAACTAAATAATTAGCTATTGGGGAGCATGAGGTTTCACCAGTGAGTAAGAAAATAGGTGATAGAACTAAATTTTCGAAAATGTTGGGTATCCTAATCATAACTGGAAAGATTTACGAGATCTTAAATACAAAATATCGATACGTATCTGACTCTACCTGACCACGTAGCTCAAACTGAACCTTGAGTAAAGTATCTTGAAGCAATGAAAATGAGTTCTTACAAAAGCAAATTGAGTAATTCTATGGGTCAAATACTCCATTAGGTTAGGTTGTGGATGAATATGAAACCACTGTAGTTTTGTCCCAAAGACTCTAATGTCCTAGGTTGGCTAAGTTTTCGAGCTGAATGAAAAAAGGTTAACACATAAGCAATTCAGGCATTCTGGGCATAATTTGAGGTTTGCTGTTCTGTTGCCGCCTCCAGGAAAGACGAGCAACTCATGTGGCCTCTCTTTTATGGAATCCAACTCAACCATGCTGTGCTGGTCTGCTGAAAGGTTTTAGAACTGTCTGTGACTAGTCATGGACAGGTAGCAACAGAAGACTTCATTTTTATACATCATTTCCAACATGACCATCCCATAGGAGAAGGCTCCTGGAAATGTCCCAGAAGCTTACTCTCCCACCAAATAATAAAGACAATAAACCTGTTTGGTTTATCTTCATTTTTTTCCCAAGTAACTTTTAAAAAGTATACTATTTTATTGATGTTTAATTTTTTAAATTAAGGGTTTATTTCAAAAACAAGAAGAATGAATTTGGAAATGAATAAAAACAGTTTGTAGAGTTGGTTGGTTTTTTTCTTCTTCTGATGATTGATTATAGCAGTATAAGAATATCAAAGTTTCTGACTTGGGAACAGGAAACTTAGTAATTATTCTTTCCACTGTTTGGAAGTTTTTGGACATCCATAGCCAAGTGGATACATATATCTACTTATTCACATGACACCCTGGTGAGGCCAAAAAAAAAAAGTATTCTTATTTTCATTTTTTAGTCAAAGCAACTGAGACAAAGAAATTATATGAGCTGTTGAATGCCAGACGGGAGGTTTGTGGCACCATTGGAGACAAGAAAGCTACCACAAATTTACAAAAAGCCAAAGATCATTAATGTATAGTCTAGAACTAAAGAAGTAGAATCTCCCTCTCACCTTCCCAGTCCTGGGATATTCTATTCATGCATTGTCAGTTCCTTTGGTACAACTTGGACATGACTCTCTCTGCCAGCCTTATTTCCCTTTATTGTATCTTAAAACCGCTCTGGTTTTCTCTTCCAACTTGGATAACGTATGTACCATTTGACTTTATGTAACCCCAAAGGATCAAGATAGGTTTGTGTTTTTTAACCACAGGCTTTAGTTATATGTATTGGTTGATTGAAAGCAGATTTTCTTCATGGTGTGTATTTGAAAAGAAAAAAGAAACACCAACAGATGTTTGTAAAGCTAGGGTGTTAGATTATATTTAGTAAGGCGCCTTTTGCCCACTAGCTTTAGGTAATGCACACATAAGACATGGACCCTCCCAAAGTTTAGATAGCTCAATAAACATCCCGACTTTTCGCCTCAGTGTTTTCTAGAAATGTCAGTTTCCAGCATTTCCTGCTTATAGTGAACTAGCTTTTGAACTATGTTCCAGGAAATGGTATAAAGATGCCCTAATATTCATGGGAGGAAGTTAATGGAGAAGTAAAACATATTGGCTTTCTAGAAGAGTTTCATATCTGACTTAAGGAATGACTAAAATACCAAATAAGCTTCTTTAAATTGAAGTTTTTTTTTTCCTGTGCAAATGTATCTAAACATACATAAATATATATGTATATGTGTGCATGTGTATATATACACATATCATATAACACATGTATATATAATGTATATGCATGTAATATATACATATACAGTTAAATATTTAGCAATTATGTATAAAAAAATTTTTAACATTCATTTTTAATAATATGGAGTTTCAAATTCTCTACCTCCCTCCTGCCTATCCCTCACCCCTTGAGAAGATAAGTTATATGATATTTATTATGCATGTGAAGTCATGCAAAATATATTTCTATATTAGCCATGTTGCAAAAAACATACCCACAAAAATAAACAAGAAAAATAAAGAAAATGAAAAAAGTATGCTTCAATCTGCACTCAAGAGTTCATTAGTTGTCTCTTTGGAGTTAGATTTTATATGCATTTTTAACAGATGCTGTTGCTATTTTAAAAACTGACATTACATAGCCATTTTTAATAGTAATTAATTAAGAGTAAATATAACACAATTAAGAAACATCGTAACACCTGAGGTCATTGTTTGAAGTTTTTTTTTTCCTTCTTTCTACATTTAAGTAAACTACAAAATTTTCAATAAGTTGTCTTACTAAAAGTTTTGACTCTGTCTATGTATTTTGTGGACTGGACCTGTGATTTTTGTAGGATCATAGATTTAGAGCTGGAAGGAACCTTGGAAACCATGGAGTCTAACCCCCTCTGTTTATAGATAAGGAAACTTAGACCCAGAAAAATTAAGACTTGTACCAGTCACGCAGTATCTACGATTACACTATAATGGATGAACATTGGGATAGGAAGCTACGAGAGAACACTTCCAATGTAGATTGGCAGCTAATCTCCAAAATGGAGTTTTTGTATCCTCCGAGTTTAAGTACAGTATAGAGATACTAACTAATGGCTGCTAGAGCTATTCTCCTCTCTCCATCTCCTCTCGCCAAGAAGAAATAACTCTAGCTTAAAATTGATATTTAAACAAAGGACAAATGGTAGTGTTGTTGGTTTTTCTAGAATTCACTTAAATTCAAGGCTGGAAGTTTCCCTAATTTTCAGAGGCCAAAACTTATAGGTTTATGGTTTAGTATAACAATATTTAAAATAATTAAATTTATGCCTTCTTTAATGGTTTTATATGAATTATATTGGTTCTTGATAACATGATAGCAGTGTATTCAATTTATAGGAATCTATACATATTTGCTGAACACCAGCTATGTATCCAACACAGTACTAGGCACATTGTGGATTTAAGAAAATTGGCATTGGGGCAGGTACAGTGGATAGAGCTCTGGCCTTGGAGTCAGGAGAACTTGAATTCAAATCCAGCCTCAGACATTTGACATTAGCTATGTGACCCTGGGCAAGTCACTTAACCCCAATTGCCTTACCAAATGAAAAAAAAAAAAAGTGGCATTAAGATGGGAATGTATACTATGTTGATTCACATGAGGAAAAATAAATGAGGATGAGTGGACAAAGAATCCTAGTGGGAACTTATCCGAAGAGACTTTTTGATGCGTTATACATTGGAAAATAATTTAAATGTAAATAGTATTAGAAGCAAGAAAAGGTATAAAATTTTGTGGGAAGACAAAGGAAAAAAAATACATTCAAGTAAGGGAATAAGGGAATGGTTCACAGATAAGGAGATATTTGAATTGGGCCTCCCTGGATAGGTAGATTTTTAATAGGCGAAGTTTGTGGGACCTGAATACCAGACAGAGCGCACACTAGATGCTATATAGGAAAAAGGAGCCATTGTGGCTTATTAAGCAAGGGATTGACATGATGAAAGCTGTGTTGAGGGAAAATTAATCTGGCAGCAGTATAAAAAAAGCAGAAACCTCATTAGCATATTCAATTAGACATGCCATGACTCCAAGTAAAGAATGTCCAATGGGGAAATTTCTAAGCTCTGTAATGCTGGGAAGTTTTAACCTGCTTTTAGCTAACCTCAGCAGATGCACCAAAATTCCCAAATCAACAGTTGTATCTAATATGCTATTTGGATATTTTATTAACAATTCCAATTTAGGAGAGGTTATATATAAATTATCTAGCCTTCTTTCTTTCTAGTTCATGACCTAGAAAGTAACTTATAAATAGATGCTCAATTATATCTTCCTCAGAGAGTCAAACAATAAAAGGTAAAAAAAGGAAATATCTAAGTATCACATTTTTTCCAAGAAGTTCATTAAAATACAACCTTCAGAAGGCATTCAAGCATGTGGACTGTGACCTTTTTTTTTTAACACTGTGCAACTGGAGTTGCATAAATGTCATGTTGGTTTTTTAAGAAGAAAACTCTGATACCAATTTACTGTGGGTATGGCATTTACTGTGTATACCAAGCTATTTTGATACAGACCAGTAAAGATTTCTTTTTCTTTTCCCTCTCCTTTTTTGTTTTGTATTCAAACAGCAAAACTTAGAGAGTAACCTCACCAACCTTATTAAGAGGAATACTGAACTGGAAACACTTTTGGCTAAACTCATTCAAACTTGTCAGCATGTTGAGGTAAGTGTATCTACCCAAAAACTTTTTTTAATGTTTTAACCTAATCAGTCCAGGTCTATACTGCATGTACAAAGACTCAGGTTTTAAACACTATGCTTAGGAAGAATGATCTGAGCAGTATTCAAAGGATTTATATTCTACATATCATGGCTTTCAGAGACCCTCCAAGGATTTCCAGATAGGCGGTTTGTAAACCAGGAAGACTTCAAACTCAACCAAACTAATAAATATTTGAAAAGCAAGTTGCTCCAAGTATGAATTTTTAAAAAATGAACTGGGATCATACTTTGAAATTTGGAGAGGACCTTACAACTCAACTTAGTCCAACTTCCTTGTTATGGAAAAAAAAATAGATAAGTGGGGTCCAGACAGGTTAACCACTTAGTCCAAGTCACCTGAGGAGTAAACTGGAAGAGCCAGGATTGGCACCTGGCTCTTTTAACTCCAAATCTAAGCCCCTTCCCATTACACCATTCTAATAAGAATGTTGTAAAAATTCCTTCAGGGACTGCCATTCCCCCAGTGACAGCCTTCTCCTAAGCCATTTTAATCAGCCACAAAATCATAGAATTTTACAATTGAAAGGATTCTTTCTGTCCTTTCTGGTCTGAACTCTTAACCCCAGTGCAGGAGGGGTGCATACAGACAAATATCAAACATAGTCCACAAGTGCAGCTGGAACCGGATTAAAACATGATTGGGAAATATTTTTAAAAATAAATAAAAATAGAATAAAACATAAACAGAAGCAGCTAGGTGATATGATAGAGTGCCAGGCCTAGAGTTAAGAAGATTCATCTCCCTTAGTTCAAATCTGGCATCAAATACTTACTAGCTGTGTGCCTTGGGCAAGTCACTTAACCCTGTTTGCCTCAGTTTCCTCATCTGTCAAATGAGCTGGAGAAGGAAGTGGCAAACCACTCTATTATCTTTGCCAAGAAAACCCCAAATTAGATCACAAAGAGTTGGATATGACTGAAACTATTGAACAACAACAACAAAAAAACCACAGATAACATTACTATGTGGTTTTTTAGACTACGTGGGGCAGTGGATAGATTTAGTGCAGTGGACTCTCTAAGTCGGGAGTCGGGAAGACCTGAGGTCAGATTTGGCCTCAGCCACTTCGTAGCTGCCTTAGTTTTCTCAACTGTAAAATGGGAATAATAATAGCATCTAACCTCACAGGGTTGTGAGGATCAGATGAGATAATATTTGTAAAGTGCTTAGCACAGTGCCTGGCACATTTTTGTTATTTTTCACTCACTTCAGTCATGTATAATAGACGCTATGTGAATGTTAGCTTTTTTATTATTATTATTATTAGTAGTATTATTAATTTATTTTTATTTGAATACATATTCATAGGGATCCTCCTGTTTGGTTTAGTGGCCAAACTTCTTACTGCCTTGCGACATGCTTGAAGGGGATTCCTAAACTGTGTGATATGTTGTAGAGGACTACAGTACTATCAAAAGGTTCTTTTACACTCCTATATTATATGAGATGGAGTGGGTAGGGTGAAAAACTGTCTCTACCAATTCAAATCAGGACATTCTTTTCAACTTTTAGGGTTGTCTAGGGCACTGAGGAATAAAGGGACTTGTCTGTGAACATGCACCCATTATGCATCTGTCATAGGTAAGATTGGAACTCAGGCCTTCCTGACTCTGAGGCCAGCTGTCTACCATAGATAACGTAATTACTTGCTAATTTTACCATGTAGCGTATACCATAAGAGATAGAGTACTGTGATCTGGATTCAGCTACCGGGGTCTTCAGAGAGGATATAGAGATTGTGCCTCATGCTGAAGATTTTTAAGGACCCTGTTTTCCATACTGATCTGAGGCCAAAATGTTAGTTTTGTCTCTGTGACTTACTATGCAAGATGCAAATGCTACATCTTGAATTTGCCATAAAGCTCCCATAAAAGGTCCCTAAAGGCAGTTAGGTGGTACAGTGAATACAGCACTGGCTTTCGAATCAAGAAGACCTGAGTTCAAATCTAGTCTCAGATTAGCTGTGTGACTCTGAGTAAGTCACTGAATCTCTGTTTGCCTCAGTCTCCTCATCTGTAAAGGGAGGATATAATAATACCTACCTCCCAGGGTCGTTGTGAAGATCAAATGAGGAAATATTTGAAAAATTTTGCAAACCTTTAAGTGCTATATGAAAAGTAGCTATCATCATCATTATTGTTATTAGTTATTATTACTATCATTATTAGATCTAATGGTGTTCCAGGGTTTTCACAGTTAATAATAATATTTGGAAGGAAAAAAAATTTAGTGGCAGTTTCAAAAAAAAATCCAATTAATTTTCCAGGTAACATGAATAGTTAACATTTGTATAGCCCTTTAAAGCTTATGGAGCCTTTTATGTATATTGACTCATTTGACCTGCATAATTACCCTATGCGACAGTGCAATTAATATTAATAATAATAATAATAGTGATCCTATTAAGGTGAGTAATAATAATAGCTAACAATTACATAGTGCTTGCATTGTGCCAGACACTATTCTAAGTGTTTTACAATTAGTATCTCATTTCATCCTCAGAACAATCTTAGGAGGTAGGTGCTGTTATTATCCCCATTTTACAGATGAGGAAACTGAGGCTGAGAGACATGGGTCACACAACTGACACAAGATTCAAACTTAGATCTCCCTACCTCTGAATAGTGTGCTATGCCACCTAGCTGCCTTTATTACTACTACTTCCAATTCTTTATTGATAATTTTCCATTTAGAGCTCATTAAGCAATGCTTATCATTAAGTACTTACTATATACCAGGCATCTTGCTAAGGACCAAGAATGCAAAGGTAGGAGTGAAACAGTAATTGCCTTCAAGGAGCTTATATTCTAATGGAGGAAACTGTGTGTATATCTGCACACACACACACACACACACACACATATACATGTATACACATATATACACACATACATATACATATATGTATGTATATTATATAGTATCATATCTAAATAATTCATATATTACTCATAGAATTCATTACATTCACACACACATATATATTTCAAGGTAGTTTGGGAAGGGAGGGCCCTAGCAATTTCTTGAGGCACACTCCCACTAAAATTCTATTCTAGTGTTTTATTAGAAAGACCATGGCTCTTAAAGATCTTGGTAGTAGAATGTCATCTCTAGCAAATTAAAGCTAAAGTGAATCTAGGAATGGGTCTAGGAATAAACAGCATGTTTCTTATCTGTTAGCCAAACTAGTTAAATTTGGAGAGGCTCTTTACCGGAATGTTGTCCACCATGTAATGGATTCTTTTATACCATGTCTATTCTTCTGAATTGGTGGAAGGAGTACCCATATGGTGAAATCACAAATTCTAAACGTAGTAAAAGTAAAGAGGAAAAATGCAGATTTGGATTCAAAAGACCTGGGTTGAAATTCCAGCTTTGCCACTGTGTAACCTTAGACAAGTCACTTAACTCCCCTGGGTCCCTGTAAAATGAAGGAATTGTCCTGGATGACTTCCAAGGTCCTTTCTAGCTTCTGACCAAACCAAACCATGTGAAGAAATGATAGCAGGGCACTTTTCTCATGAATTATCATTTATTGCCCTTTCTTCTCTATCTTGGGTTTACAGTGGAAAGAAAGGAATCTGAAAGGTTCCTTCCACCCACTTGACTCATATTCTCCTTCTCATTTATCAATTGGTCCTTTTGGAAGCAGAGAACACAGTGAGAGTGGGAGAATATAAAAGGGGTGGGGAGGATGAAGAGAGAAAGAAAAGGGAATGAAAAGCAGCAGGCAGGAGGCGGGTGCAAAGATTTGAAAGATGAGCCAGAGGACCAATCCAGTTGCTTCCCCTACTCCAAGTATTGCCCTAATAATCAAATGAAAACCAGCCCTTTGATGATATAAAGAAGGAACCAAATTATAGCAGCAGCTAGAGCCATAACAGATTGGAGTGCTCACATTTCCCTCAGTCCAACTTTCCATAACAGAGTTTGCCAATTACAATTCTCTGAAGAAAAGTTTGAGTACTGCTGATTAGGCTGCAATGTAAATAATAATGAAACTATCCATAATGTTTTCATTTATGTTGAAAAGGGTGAATGTGTCTTAAAGGAATGAAAGAATGGGGAAAATTGAATGATACAACTGTCCTATATTTCTGTTTTTATGATGTGATGGCATTTTATATTTGAGACAATAACAAAGAGTTATGTTTCCTCAGTTAAAATTACCTGAGTTATATAGAGGAGTCTTATAAATGTTTTACGGCTTTGGTGCTTTTTTACATTCAAGTAAAGCCAGCCTAGTTAACCAAAGCATCAGCCTCTGGTTTTCATTATTGTCTTCAGTGATTTCAGGTCAACTGACTTGCTGTTGATTTGTTATTAGTATTGTTTGAATTTACATAGTGCTGCTCCTTTTAATGTTGATATAAAATTGTGTTCCTATTAAGATGAGTAATTTCCAACTACAGATGAAGGTTTCGTTCAGGAAATTTACAAGGAGTTTTCATTCAAGAGATTACATTTTACTTTGCTTTATATATTTGTAGCTTTGTAAATGAAGTTGTTATTGGATAGATTAGGGCACCCTTGCAAATAGACCATCATAAATCATGAACAATAATTTGTGCCAGACAGGTAGTGAAGAATGCTCTCATTTCCTCTGGTTTTTTTTTTTTTAATGCTATCTCCATACATCCCTTGGGAAGGAGGGTGTTCATGTGGATGCTTGTGAGTGGATACATTTTGGAATTATTTAGAATGGCATTGAGCTAGGTGGTATATTGGATAGTATGCTGGATTTGCAATCAGTAACACCCTAGTTCAAATGCCACTTCAGATATTTATTAGCTGTGAAATTTAACTTCTCTCAGACTCAGTTCCCTCCTATATATATTTTATATAAAATGGGGATAAAGTATGTACCTTATAGAGTTGTTGTGAAGCTCAAATGAGATAAAATATGTAAAGCACTTTGCAAAACTTAAATACTACATATTTATA